CAGGTTGTAGCACGTGCGTAGTACTTGGATCAATCTTTTCCTTTCCAGTACTTCCCTCGTGCTCTGCGTATAGTGTGAATTTTGCATTTTAAGCATTTATTGCATAGCTGCATACACTATAAAAAACAAAAACGTTCAGGATACAGCTATTCCGGACACAGAGAGAAAGAACATTTCATGATTTGTACCAAAACTGAACTTGGCGCTCGCCTGAGCACACTCGTATTCGTTTAGTGAGCCAAAAAACACACACAAAACGAATGCCGGAAAAGAATGCGTTGGAACAAAAATCTGCTTTAAAAACCCTTGAAGACGGGACAAATTCAAACGTAGAAATGTGTTAGGTGCTTCATAACACCAGCTGTACCAGCCCAACATTTAGGTGTGTTTAGAATTCGCCGATTGGGGAACCGTACCCCCAACTCAGGCATCGTCGCACATATTAACGAAAAGCGAGCAAGATAGTTGGACAAGTGTAAGTTGTTAGTAGTGACAGTCACATATAATGCAAGTGATTTAAAAATATCGGCATTGAAATTATTTGAAAAACAAGAAAAAAAAACTTAACTAGGCTGGCAGGCCAAAGATTTAGAAAAAAAAAAAATCAAAACTTCTCCATAATTTACTTTTTGTGGAAAACAAAAACGGTCGGAAACAGAAATTATCCTTCTGACGGCTTTGCAGAAAACCTGCTAGTAACAATTTCTTGGAATATGCCAGTACCAATTTATCACCGAGAAGCACGAAAGAACCATAAACGGTAATGCACAAGTAATGTCAGAATGATACCTGCCACTTATGCCATGCTCGCCCATCCTATCAAATCAATATGACGGATTTACACAAAAAAATGTAAAAAAAAGACATAAAGTGATCCTAAGATTGCGTGTGATATTTTTGTGAGCTGTTTCGCGGGATTATCCGTTCTGCAGCATCGACCGCATGTGTGACGATCTTCTATCCTCTTGACTTCTTCCACAAATTTACGGCACGCAAATGATGCGAGTTGCTCCTGGTTCATATGAGAAACGAGAGCCGTTTCAGCGGTAAATACCGTACCGTTTAAAGTTGAACGAGCTGGCTGTGCTTCTTTGATGATCGTTTTTGCTGTACTGCTTTGCTGTAGATAACTTATCGGATCAAAATACCAAATTTCGCTCATTTGAACTCAAAAATTATGATTTTTCGTTATAACTATAGTCGCAAATGATACACATACACATCTCCCTTGTATTTGCTCATTCCAGAGACGGAGGCACTCGGAAGTATTTCGATCGCAACAAGTACCGACAGCAATTACTTGCTAACAAGGCCTTTCGAGGGTACTTAGACTTACTGTGTAACTCCCGGAAGGCCTTGTTAGCAGGCAGTTATGTGATGGATTTTTATTAAAAGATGTGCTGACTAGGATGGTTAGACAAATTTGAACTGAAAGAACTAATTTGTTCTTCCGGCCAAGCAAGGATGCTTGAGGATTCACTGTAGCGTGGCTTTGATCGCAGCTATTCCCGCCTTTGCCTTCAAATTTGGTAAAACCGAGGGAATATAATAAATTTTCTGGGAATTTGATCCCAGAATTTCACCAACAATAATTTTCACCTCTTCGAAATGGTGCATTGGAAAACAAGTGGCCATTTTACTTAAACTGTATAAAAATCTAGAAACAATCAATTTCTCTGAGACAAAAATTTTAACATGCAAAAAACTGCACGCAAGGATAAGACAGTGTTGAAACCAAGTATTACCAAAATATTAAAATCGCTTGAGCAGTTAATGTAGTTATCCCCAGTCAATGTTACTGATATTTAATGTTTCCTTACCCTGGGCGCAGCTGCACCAGGTTCCTTGGACTCAAGGATTATGCTGTTATAAGTTACACAGCGGAGTGAGGGAAGGAGGGGGGAGAGGGAGTACGGGCTTTTTCGGTGCTATATCTGGAAGTCACCTGTTTCTGTGGATTTTGCTTGTTGCAGCTCTTCAGATGCTACATTTCGACTAGCTGCTTTACTAATGCTTGCCTTCGTTGCTTTTTCATTGCCATACGTTGGAGCTCCAGATTCCTCCAGGACCTGATCTGTTTCACTATTGGGATATTTTTCGGCTGACACACTGCCCTCCACTTCGTCCTGTCCTTTTTCTGGTTTTCTCAGACCAGTTCCGCGTTGCGCATAAAGACTATCATCCACAAAAAGTTCAATAAAGCTAGCATAATCGAAAAGTGTACGTACATGTATTTGTAACGAATCAATCTTTCTGTCGAAATGACCGATTTGTTGTTCCATAAATCTCGTCATCATCACGGCGTGATGTAAACGTCTTTCCTCCTGCTTACTTTTCATTTCCTAAAAATATATCTTAAATAATAGCCCGGTATTAGTGCAGCATGTGAAAGGAGAAACACCAAGTTTGCCGGTACGATCATGCGTTTTTGTGCTGAACTTGCTGCAGTCAGATCGTTAACAGCAGGTACTATTTTTGCGCTATGATTTAACAAGTCGACTCATGTTGGTTGCGTTTTGGAAGCCAAGCTTTCACGACCTACAATCAAAAGAATTTAGCATAAAATCGTAAAATTTTGTTATTACTGATCTTTGGCGGAAACAGCTACTGTTTTTGAGAATAGCCCAGTTAAGGAAAAACACACAAGACACTTATGAAAATTGTTTCGGCACTGCAGCTGCGATTGTTCTCTCTGTATATTTTTGTGCGTTTTTGATCTGCAGCGCTATAGCGCTGCTATAGTAAATAAAAAAGCATTTTCTCGAGAGGAACGTGCTGTCTGAGTGAACTTTTTCATTCATTTTTATGCGTTTTGTGCTGTGTAACAGCAGTACAAAACGCATATTGTTACGGGTTTGTCTG